ACGAAGGAGAGTCGGTAACGGTGCGTAACATTTGGTCATGGAGACAGCGAAATGGCGAGATTACTTCAAGGCGTATCTCTCTAGGGTCTCATGCGATTTCACTGGAACTCCATCGTGCATTCGCGTGTCGTGTTTATCCTGTTTTTCAGGACACTGCAATCGATAGTATGACAGAGGTGAATATCGTGTTTTCGAAATCGTGAATAACATTTTCAGAGATCTCCCTAGCGGTATCACCTCTCTAGTTCTATGCAACATATAACTTTAAAATATAATAATAGTTGTTGCTCTAAATAAAATGCTATTACGAAGTCTTTCGATAGTTAGGGGCCGAAAGTTTAAGTTCGTTTAATTTCCACGAAGGTTTGTCTTCGTGCGGCGAAGACGTGCCCGGTTTCATGCGGAATCTGGAAAAGGTGAAAGAAAGAAGGAAAAGAAGAGCTGGTTCAGAGCCGCAAACAGCTTCTTTGCGATATCTATCTGTGCAAATATTAGGTGGATCCACGGAAGCAAAAAAGAAGCCGATGTTTTCATTTAATATCCGTTGAAAGTCCGCTCGGCCCGCGCCGACTGCCAACCGGCATTCAGCGGAAAGATTGCGAGAGTCATTTCCCGTGTGACTAGCGTGGAGATGTTGCCTTTGAGATAGCCCACTCCGAAGCAATACGAAAGTCCTGGATGCTGCGCGTGCTGGGAGAGATACGCTCTACTTGTTCCCGATAGTTCTCAAACCGACGCAATCACGCGTTAAGTATAATGCTTTAAAAGATTGAAGTATGTAAAACGATGAGTAAACAACCGCTGCCCTCAAAATTCTATAAATTGACTCCATAATATGTTCAGACATTAAATAGTAATGTCCATTAATGTAGATATTATAGTTCATTATTAAATTATCAGTAATATTAATTCAATTAATTTATAACCAATAATATTCTGGCATATTTAAACCCATCTTTTAAGCTCAATTTCACAAATGTCCGTTAACTTTTAATCTTAGGTTAACTCATTCTTCGTCTCTCTTTAACGTCCCCCTTAGAAAGAGACAAAGAGTGAGTTAACGTAAGATTAAAAGTTAACCGACAGTTCCACCAACGTTTGTGGAACTAGCCCTTGAGACACATATTGCTTCAAATGTCTTTCTTGTAAAAGAAGAGAATCTAAAGACATAATTCAAGTTTCAGATTAATTGTAGCCACAGATTAAGCGGATAAATCAGCTAAATAAGTACGAGTATTAGTGGATTAATTAATGATTTGATTTAATGCCGAGACTCTCTTGTTGGGATACGACGTCAGTTGGAGTGATAAATCTGTAACAACGCGAGTGTAATGTCCCATGTGCGTCCATTGGCACATTGCCAAGGATCACAACTGTGCAGCGGATGATTATAGTAACATTAAGCGCCGTTTCTACGCGTAGAAAACTTAATGAAGCAATCATTACTCGGAATAATCGTCCATGTAATACGCGTAATTTCACGCTCGTCTTGCTATGACAGAAATTAAATCTTGATCGCCAAGATATACCAAGGCGAAATTATAACAATTGACAAATCAATATTCGATAAAAAATCGTCTCCAAAGTGAGTACACAAAAAGGATTCGATGAGTAGAAATTAGTCGATAGAAACATATATCGATATACGCGATCGGAAACGAACGTATATCATACCCAGCATGGTTGATTAATGCAGCGTTCAGATATGCAGCGACAATACGGGGTGGCCATTATATTCCGGGACGGAATTCCACCTGCTGTAGAGTTTAATGTCACCGTGCTAGTGTTTCCTTCGTGCGAGCAATACGAATCGTCGCTCGCGCGCGGAGACAGCGGTAGATTACCGTCGACGGCGCGGCAATTCTTGCGGTGTGACACAGTGTAATATTTCAATGCCGTCTTGACGATATTTTTCAGCAGTGCCGCGGTAGCTAGGTGGATAGGTGGGTACACCGCGAAAGTGGGAAATGTCAGCGAATGATTGCAACCCCGTGGTGCCGCCCGAACGGGATCGCCGAAGGATGCCGATACGAGAGCTCTCGCCATCCTTTAGGAACCTAGACGCAAATTTATAGAGACGAGATTAATAATAATATTACAGCATTACACACTAATGTTCTAATGTTTCTAATGTTTCTAATGTTCAAGCTAGGCTTCGAAATTATGTTTCAAACTTTTAATTATATTTTTTAGAATACTGATTTTATGCACTATTAATAATAATGTCGACTGCATTTATGTAATTTGAATCAAGACAGAAGTATAGAATAAAATGGAAATGACGTAGGATTTCTCATTATTTCGCTGGACAGGATCGTTTAGCGTCAAACTTTTTACACCGCTTTTTGACTACACGTGTAATTTAATCGCCCTCTTTTGAGACCACCTTTACGACCGAGGTCACTACTCGGCGAGGGGGGGGGGGGAGAGGGAGAGAGAGAGAGAGAGAGAGAGAGAGAGAGAGAGAGAGAGAGAGAGAGAGAGAGAGAGAGAGAGAGAGAGAGAGAGAGAGAGCGCATTTCGACCGTGACGTATTAACATGAAGGAGATAACGATTCAATATTACGCAGGCCAAATATCCTCAGAAACGCTAATGAGTAGTATTGATGTAGCGGGATATAAACGGAGTAAGACTTATGCCACGAGCATGAATGCGGACACGATCCTGATTGCGGCGATGAGCGCGCGGCGAAGGGAAGTTGCAAAGCTTCTTTCAGCTTCTACTCCGAGGAAAGAAGAATTGCGATCCTCGGCGAAGGTGAGGGCGGCGAAGTCATCAGCGCTGATAAATAAAACGTTAGAGCTACACATACCACCAACTGTCTGTCGTCGCGTAGCGATATTCTTGCTTGTACACGAACACATGCGCACACACACACATCCTTCAACCCTTCGCCTCGTCTTTCTCTTTCGCTAGTCGAGGGTGCGTTTAAAAGTGCTTGGGCCGGCTACAGGGCGCACACGTGAGATCGCCATCCCCCGGTTGTCTCTCGGTCTCTCACTCTCTCTCTCTTTCCATTCCGACGTCGTTGCCACTTCGAGCTGGTGAAACGCGCGTACTTCAGACAAACAAAGGCAACCTTCGTCGTCACCCCTTTACCCGGCATCACTCTTAACTAGTAGCTTAGTATGTACAGGCCCAGCTGTAATATTACGATCTAACGTATGCGTATACTCTGTAGGTACGAGCTAGCTTGCGAGACACACAGGCTCCTTTACCGAGGAATGTAGTTTGAGTAATTATTGTTCGCATATCGCTGCGGATTAATTATTTCCTAGGATATAGGATTATTTCGCAGTGATGTTATGCGAACTACGTTCAATATGCAATGCAAAATCATATAGTTGATATTGTATATATTCTATCTAGAAATATCTTTTAAAAAAACTTCGATATCGATATTGTTTTTAAGATTACGTGAAAAAAAATACTTGTTTTTTCGTATACAAGTAAAATCTCCGAGATCTAGAATATACACAGTTAAAATTACGGTTAAAAATAAATCCGTGTAATCGCTCCATGTACATGCGCTTTCGAGAGGCAGCAATTTGTAGACTAGTTGAAAAAGTCGACGATGCAATTCTGTCCGCAGACACCGAGCCCGCATTCGTCGAGAGCCGTTCGCTCTCGTTGTGTGCAGCACCGTGCGATCCACCCTTTTAGATCTCGCCAGCGAAAACAACGAATAATGTGTTCGTCTCGTCGAGGAACCGCATTGAACGTAATGATACCTCGTCGCATCCGTTTCGCGCGAAATAATATGGCGAAAATCGTAGGAGAGGGTCGCGTCCTGGCACTAGCTTGTCCGGCTTTTACCGTGGTATTTTCTCTTTCGCGTCATTATATTGCGCAAAACAAAGGACTCACTCGCACGATTTTCCTTGAAACTCGACCTATTAAATCATCGCTTATATTTAATCATCCTTGTTCATTTGCGTATTCACCAGGGCGAAACGTAACTTTTCATGTTTGCTGCGGAAATATATTACTATCTCCATTGTAGCTATAAAAAAAGAATATTTGTGAATATTGCAATTTCTAAATGTAAATAAGTAATTGTTTAGTTTTAATAAGAATAGAGGTAGATACCGGTTTTAATTATGCTCTTGTGAAATTTAAAGAGTTGTTTTATTCTGTGCACCGTAAAATTTAGCTTTTACGTGAAAATGTTGTAACTTCAAAATGGCATAAAAAGTTTCGAGCGTTGTTTGCCTTGTGTAAATTATTAAAACGGAAAAAATGGGAAAATTCGTAACATTTCGTAACATTTCCAGTTGCCGACTTTTTTTTTAGAATGGAATTTATTTCGTAAATCCAAATTTCCTTTTCAAACTCCCAGTCGATTACGACACGCGACTGAATTCATTTGGCTGTTTAGATCAAAGCGCAACATTTACCAGTGCCAGTCAGGATTTTATTCGTTCGTCGATCGTGCGTGCGTGCAAATTCATTTCCGCAAAATTCCCGGTAGGGGCACAAAACGCGAGGAACGGAAAACGCGCCGATAAGTCAATCTCTCTGGGCGAGAATGAGAACGGAAGGAATTGATGCGTGTGGTACGCGCAGACTCGCACGAACGCGGCGACTCGAATTCACGATCAAAGAGCGCGTGTTTCCCACTTCTCTTTGTCGTTAGAGACCTGACTTAGGGCAGATCTTATGTTAGTCTCAGACAAATTGTCGAATGTCTTCGCACCACGTATTTGTTGATTACGATGTTTGACGATGCAAGAATTTAAAGAAGGTAGTTGCAATGAAGTTTTTTGAACTGTAGCAGCACAGCGTGGCAAAACCCGGCGATCGGAGTTGCAAAATTCACATTCCGCCCATGATAACGATATTTCGAAAATATATAGCCCAGCGTAATTTGAAAGTTTTAATATACTTACATATACTTTAAAACTATGTGACTTATATACATACATCTATATTTAGTTTAAAGAAATTGATAAAAATTGTACTATTCATGATTTATACATAAAATCTTTAGCTTATCTTATCAAATGTAGAATTGGCGGAACTAGCAATATTTATCTATAATATTTTGATTGTAATCTATCTTGCCTGATTAATTAGCAAGAATAAATTCCCTTTAATTTTTATGCTTTATTTTAATATTTTGAGACCTATTCATATAAATCTATTCGTACCTTGAGATTAATCCGAGCTCAATCTGCGTTCTGCCCTTTCGGTAGATGAGCGGTCTCTCTTTAATGGAGGTGGTGCGTTTAGCTTCGTGTTAACGCTTTCTCTCCCGAATCACTCTGGCGTTAGGAATTGTTCGAAGCTGACAGGGGCGACTGCCGCTGCTGCTGCTGCTGCTGCCCTGTGAACAGCGTTATGTTTGTGAAATTATCCGAGTAGTAATTACGGCACGACAAGTAGTGTATGCCGGCGCGCGTGATGACTGGTTCGCCGATTATTTGTGACAAATGATTATCGTCACTCTCGTGTGTGTCACGAACGATCGTACGCAGCGTCGCTCGCAGCAGTGATATTGTTGCAAAGGCGAGCAATGATTTGCTTGGATGCACGCGATGATTGTGCGCTGTTGCATCGTACACGCGCGATCGCGGAAGTGTCGAATAAACATGGAATCTTACAGCACGATCATTGTATCAATGTTACGCGTGATAATGTATGTTATATGAAATTTATTACTTGTGTGTAAAGTAACATCTAGTTTTACTCATATATATCTCGTTATAAGTGCTTTTAAAACGAGTGTAATATGTATATCGTTATATTTATCCGTCGCACATTACAAAATTTTGAAGATCGCAGCTAGTTGGAAAGTGAAAATGTAGCCGTTGGGAGATTTTGAAAGCTCATTTAATGTTTAGCGACTTCATCCTGAATGACGAAAAGGCTTTGTTCGCCCTTATTTCGCGTGGATGAGCAAATTACCGAACAACGTTGGGCATGCAAATTGCATTTACAATAACGCATGTTTAATTCGTGACGGCGTTAAGCGCGTAGCGACATATTTGTTGTTTATATTTGTTGTATGCAACCATCACCGGCCGGTCGGCCGGACAGTCGCATTTCATGTGGACGTAAGCTGCATTTTGACGTCGCTTACGCTATCGCGCGACAATACCCGGGGACAACTGTAGAATTTCCCATAACGAAACTCGTTCGCGCGCGCGAGCCCGGCATTCACCGGGCGGACGCCCAGCGAGCGCGGAACGGAATGGAATATAGGAAGTCTCTTTTCCAGTACCGGTCCGGGTTACAAGATCGTGCGGAAAGCATAAAGATAAGGAAGGATACGGTATACGATCGATGTGTAAGCCTGGTATGCGGCGGCGATGCAACATAGTATCGCCGGGTATCGCTCGGGAGAGAGCGTACAACCAAACATGAACGTCTCAATGGAAGTGAAACACGCGTGATTAGGGAGCACTTAAAATTTATGGTTTCGCGTCGCACGAGTCTCGGGCGCGATAAACGCGGTTGCGCCGACCTGCGATGCAGGTAAATAGTGCCTCGAAAAACTCGTTCGGGCGCGTTCTCGGGAAGAGTACGGTACGGATTTAATGATCACACTTAAGATTTAGTCATACGACACGTCTCGATTATACCTTATAAATATTTTACTGTGCTAAAAAATTTTAAGATTCGTGATTAAATCAAAGACAGATCGATCTCCCGCAGTTTTGCACGTTTATCTCACGGATAATGTAAGATAGAGTTTCGTGGTAGCAGACCGAAATGTTTCACGGTAAGTTTCATCAATCGTTTCCGATAAGCTCGTGGTCGGCTGATTAACGTAATTCGATCCGATTCGCGCACACGCATCGCGCTTGTGCACGCGAATGCAGAAGCGCGTATTGTGCGGATATCGTGCAACTCAGTGGTGTTTCCACATGTTTCCAATCTCGTGTATGCTCTTCCCTTTAGTTTTTCGTCCCGCCCTTTCTCGCTTCTATAGTAATATGAACCTTTCTTTTTTTTGTGGCCGGTGGCAAAGAAAAACGATAGGATGTTTCGCGGGCCATAAACACGGGAAAATTATCGCACGGAAGAGCTGAAAGGTGGCGGTTGCAACGTAATAGCGAATCCTTCTTTTCTGCGTCCGGCGTGGAAAAATAGGCTTCGCTCGTCGGCGAAAGCACGCTCTCGCGATCACGCTGAATTTATGGCGTCATTTTGATGATAACTCGACTTTTCGAGCATTAGCGCCGAGATAATTGCCGGCGAATGAAAGCGTAAATAAAAACGCTGTTCCGTCGCCAGTAATGATTTACGATTTACGCATGCGACGAAAAGCAATACTCCTGAATATTCAACGGACGTCCCGAGAAATTATGCATAAAAGATAAGCTACGTTTACCGGATTATGTATCGTTAAAACAGAGAATTTATTTATCGGATTCTCTTCTTTATCTTTATTCTCACGATCCTGCTAACATTTTTACATTATGCTGTATCATTATTATCGTTCAATTTTTATTGTTCTAAATCTAAATTATAACGTAAACGTATCTTGATCTGACAGTTTTAAATCTGCCTGTACACGAATGGCGAGAAAGGCGTTCGTTGCGCTAGGTTTATATTTGACAGGTATCGAATGATATTTCCATCCGACAAACTTTTGTTTCTGTTCACCGATGAGTACAAAACTGCGAGCTTCGATATATGATGACATTCGTTTCCCGGATCTACATTTTTCTTCCCCTCGCGTTTCTGAAACTTCGCGATAGAAACGCAGCTCCACCCGATGTGGAAGACTTTCCGCGAGCGACAGATTTATCGCCGTCGAATCGAATTTTCTGATTAATGAACGATAGGCTGAAACGTCAATCAACAAGGGAATAATGTCGCAAGACGATTTTACGATTTCTAAATTTGTAAAATCATAAAAAACACCATGGCAATTTCATCTTTGTGTGTGCAATAACTATTTTTGAAGTCTGCAAATGTAACAATTCAAAAAACTTTGCAAGAGATGCGTGCAAAAAATACACGTAGGAATTTACATTTTAAGAGAAAAATTTTTTCAACTAACCAGACTGAAAGATTTATTGAAATCTATATTGAGAGGTACTACAGTTATCTGTAAAATCGTCTGTTATGCAATACGAACAAGACACGTCGTCCACGGTTATTCTGTACGCGGCGCAGCAGCTCATATCTAATTGCATGTGCGATGAATAACGAGAGAACGAGAAAGAGAGAGAGAGAGAGAGAGCGAAAGAGGAAGAGACAGAAGTAAAACAATAGGGTATCCCGGGAACAGGGGCGAGATGCGGCCGCAGAAAGGAGAATAAAGGTGTCAGGTAATGTGATATATGGGATCGATTTGAATCCGGCGTTTAAGCCGCGAGCCATAATTCAATCTCGATCGCCTTTTCCTTCCTTCTCCACCTCCGCGACTCTCCCTCTTCCTCTTCTTCATTCTCGTCTTTGGCCTCTCCGCTTTCTCGCTCGGCCGTGTACTATCCCTCAAGGGCACGTTCGATACTCAATATATACTTAGGTATATACATATCCGAGCTACTCTCGCGGTACCTGGCTCCGCATAATATATACGCGTATCGCGAACCCCGTTGACTCCTTAAGGCCTTGTGCACATTGTCTTCTTCGATTACGGACGGATTTCTTCATGGGATTATCGCGCTGCTCTCAGATTTGATATCGCGCCTCGTAATTTCCACCCTGGCGCATTAGTAATGCGGATATACGCCGGAACGATCGCTTTCCAAGTTCTTGCTCGTGCGGGAACGAGGATAAATGTAAGCTGAAATATTTCAAAAACTATTTTAATATTTATTTTAAATTACTTCCTGTCGATTTATGAGAAATATACGCATTCGTGCGTCACTTATTTTATGTACGTTCGAAGCGTGACATGCGTTCTAAAATCGAGAAATGAGCGAATTTTCCGATTAATAATTATGTACCTTATGACAATTCGTTCATTGTTCGATGTTCAGAAATAACTTGTGCTGGCTTGCGTCGCGGGGAGTTAATTGCCGTTTGCGCGTCGGCGTCGGTGTGAAGTTGGCGCTGTAAATTTCCAATCTTTATTAGTACGTCCAAAATACGTGTAACGAACAGCAGACACTTACCGCGACGAGCGCGACATCGTAGGACGGAGAAGTTCGTCTCTCTCAAAGAGACCCCACGATTCTTTCCCATCGAGTGTGATTTGCGGACCATTTTAAACGAGAATGACCAGAAGAACGTCCAGACGTATCCTCTTCGAATATCTTGTTTGTGCAGCGTCGTAAAGGGGCTGGCGGGGTTCCGGAGCGTTGCGAGTTGCGAGGACGGCATGCACACGGTAAATTCGTCGTCGAAAGAGCGAGGAAAAAAGGAAGCTACGAAAAACGGAGACGGTTACACGCCGTACGTCGTACGCCGTACGCGAGCTAGCCAGCGCGAAACAAACAAGACGGGCGGGGAGAGGGAGCACGGAGCACCGGGGCACCGGGGTCCCGTCCCGTGACGTACATACGGCGGACGACGGGCGACGGGAGTGGGAGTTAGAGTGGGAGTAGGGGGGGGATATCTCAACGGGCGCCGAGCACAAGGCAGTGCACGCGCAGCCGCCAGGACGCGCGCATCTCGTGTAGTTTTCTTACCGACTCGGGGAAGGTGAGGGAGAGGGAGAAGCCCGCGAAACCGAGATCAACACCGCATCGGCACTGCGCGTTCGAGTCTCGCGGTCGCTTCACGGCGGCGACATCGGACAGCCGTATTTTCAAATCACGAGTGCACGAATTTGAACGTCCCTCCTATATTGAGTCGAGAAGTTTGGCCATTCAAAGTGTCGCGTGATTCGCTTCGCCTGAATACGATACGGCCAATACGCGACACGCGTGAAGTTGCAGTGAACTGTGCGCTCGACGCCGCGCCGTCGTCGACGCGGAAGAAGGACGCCCGTCCATTGCTCCGAATGCTCCGGCGAGCGGGCGAGCCGCATCATCGTTCGGTGACGGACAGGACGTGAGAACAAGGTACGATGATTTTGGTGCTATCACTGAGAACTCGAGACGCTCTCGTGTCGTTGATCTCTCTCGATCCGCGGTCGTGTCGTCGAGTCGCACGCGCGATTTTCGTGGCCCGTTGAGAAAAGTCGCCGGGAGTGTATCGCGATCTCCGCTCCGAATCGCGTCCCGTCGCAAATGTGGCGTAACGGTTTCGATTTCGCGTCGGCGAATTAACGACACCGTGTCTCTTCAACCTCGTCTCCTTCTAATTGCAGAACGATCGAGCGACTGGCGTCGAGGATCAAAGTGCGTTTCGGAACGGGACATTTCGGAGTGCGAAACGTTCGCGAGCGTGAAAAGCCGCACTCGTTCGCATAGACTTTCGTTTCTTTCACGCGGATTCACGTCGAATTATTTCGGGGCGGTCGCGCGCGCCTAGCGAGCCGCGCGAAGTGAGTCGCGCGCGTGACGTGAGCCGCTCAACCGTTCGAGATTCGAATTCCCCGCCGCGTTCGACCGCCCGGCCCGGGGACCGCGCGCGCCTCGGCATCAGCCTCGCGGAATTCCGCGATCGCGAATCCGCGAGTGTGTGAATATCCAGTCGGCGTCAGTGCGGCCGAGTGACTTCCAGCGATGCATCCGCAAGGGATGATGAGGGTGTCGCGGAAGGAGGAGGACGATCCAACGATCGATCATGAAGCGTCGCGCCGTGGACATCGCTAAGGAGCTTCACCTCTGCTATACGACCTCCGATCTGCCAGTTCCGGTGAGTCAAAGACTTGTCTGTGTTACGTGACACTGCATAATAAAAAAAAACTGCAGTCTATTGTCCTTTGTTAATTTCTGATTTAATTTTTATTATAAAATTCTGTACGCTCGAATGATTCGAGAGATTATTGCAGACAAATGCATTCTCGTTTTATTCAATATGGAATGACGAAATGATTACTATGACTTTTATGAAGCAGGATACCTTTTTTACAAAATTCGATAAAACGTCACTTGCGTGACACGATTCGATTTTGGTTATGTCACTAGGCAATTTTTTCGTCTCGTAATTACGTTAACCGTCGATATTGGAATCGTCACGTGTATGCAGATATCTGCTTTTTCCAATAATTCTTGGGGTATTCGATACAGCTGTATTGTACGGCACAATTATATACAGAATTGCTATAATTGCTATAATTGCAAGACCGTAATATTCGGATTTATGCGATGTATGTGTTTGTCGTGCAAATAGATATCGTGCAAATAAAATAGATATTTCTGGATATTAATAACGTAAATGGCAAATATATTCCGATTTTATATTATTAACAAACTACACTTTTATTAAATATTTATTATTGAATATTATTGAAAATACTTGTATTGAAAGAAGAAAGAATTTATGCGAATAAAAATTAAACGCATAAAAGCGTTTTTCTGCATGCTCGCACATATTTTTACATAGAAAAACTCCAAGTTATTTCTTACAAAAGAGTTATTTCAAATTTAAATTTGTGCTTTCCGGTATAGTTCGTAATATTAGATACCATTTAATTGATATTATAGCATAGCGATAATCATTTAGTATGACGACTTAAGACGTTATTGAGGTAAATCACAATAGAACCAGAATCGAGATAAATTATTATAAAAATTATTTCAATTTACGACTTAATCGCTGACGTCGCAAAAAAGAAAAAAAAAACGTAGCATTCGCGAACCGTAGAAAACGATGCAGCGCGTTCGGCTACTCGACGAAAAGATCGTTATAGTCGGGTGCTCGGGTGCAGCTTCCATGGAAGGTTGGTGAACGCGACACGATTCCGTTGAAGAAGACCACCTTTTCAAGTAGGCGTTTAAACGTCAACATCTTGGAGAGCCCAGTCACTCGCTACGAGTGCATCGGTGGAGTGCGGCAGCCGCTCCGTCCTCTCGTGACGTCTCGGTTTCCTCTCTTCTGCCCTCCCTGTGCCCTTCTCTGAAAGAGAAGTGGTAAGAATTAATGCGCGGTATAACGAGGAATTTATATCAACGGAATATTTCCAGCCGTTCTATTAATTGCGCCTCCATTTCCGCTCTGCCGATCGCGTTCCGTGATGTACGCGAAATACCTATATATTCTAAAGTTGCTTATACCGCACCGGGTTGTATTCGTAGCGAGATAATTTGGAGCATGGAGCAACAATAGTACGCTCGAGGCAGGTAGCCGATTGCAATGTTTATTTAGAGAAACACTTTTTTTTTTGTAAATTATATCGGTGCAAAAATCGCGGAAACTACTCTGCCGTATGTAATTTCGTCGCGGTTTTCAGTCGAAGCAATATCGGTTATCGAAGTAATTTATTGCAAAATATATTTCATACCGGATGGCTTTTTATGGTGGTAAAAGTATTTTTAAATTTAGCAAAAAATTTTTATATTAATTTTGTAAAAATTTTATTGAGGGAAAGGTTGCGTTAAATATATTCGAAACAAAATGATTCATTGCAAAATATATTTAAAGCGGCATAATTTATTGGACGCGAAGTATGTTTGAGATATTACAACTTATCATATAATCTTTTGCTTAAAGCGATTTATTGTAAAAGTAATATCTTGATAACTTACGATAAAGTACACTAGAATAAGATAGCTTAATGCGAAATTAATTCGAAACTATTTAATAAGAATATTCGCGATATTTATGCTATCATATCCTGTTTCAAAATATATTCTATTACATTATATAATCAAGAGAGCTTAATACAAAATAAACGAACATAATTTACAACAAACAATACTGAGCGTAATATGATCCGTTATAGGATGCATTTAGCATCATATTGTACGTAATATTCCGCATAACGTTATACATCACAGATTATATTGAAGCAAGATAGCAATGCGGAGTATGTGTGAAACAATATCTAATCACGAATAACATTCGCGATAGACTGGATTAGTTCATTCCAAAGTATATTGCTCTCGGCGTGTAACACACAGCAAAATATATTCGTATATACCTATAGTATAGTATATATACCTATATAACTTAGTATACAATGCGCATGAGTTTATCATGGGGAATATTCGGTGTAACATAACTTATTATTATCTATATATGTTGCGAGATGGCTTATTGAAGATTGCGCTCGAAACTACTATCGATTGCGCGGAGCGTACTAACAATTAGTTACTTTATCGCGGAGTATACATTTGGAGCAAACGTATCGCGACAGTAATCGATAGGACAAAGATAGGAGACGAACGCAGGTGACAGAGGTGATGGAAAAGGGGGCAAAGGATGAGCAAAATCACGGAGTAGAGGAAAGCCGGAGAAAATTGGAGAAGTCGCATCGTTGATGAGTGCGCTGAACCAGGCTCTTCAGATCTAGGGGAGGTCCTACTCTAATTTCAGCGAGACGCTTCTCCGCGCCTCTCTCCCCATTTTCGCGGTCTTCGTTTTAGAGAGGCTGTGTGTTGAAAGCGAGACTGTGTGTCACGCAAGTATGGGAGAGAGGCGCAAGAAAGAGCAGAGACGAATCACTTGTCCTCGAAGAAGTTCCATCCGTCGAGTGCGGTGAGAAGCTCTCCAAGATGAGGTGACGGGAAACAGAGGGCGGTCTTCTGTCCGCGACTTTCCACCTCGCTGAGAAATTTTCCAATTGAGCACCTAATCCCGAGAGAGAGAGAGAGAGAGAGAGAGCCGGATTAATGTTTAACCCCGTTAACAATGGACGCTTTTAAGAAACGTTGCCAGCGCCTAAAAAACTCGGCCGAGATGCGCTCTTAAAAAATGCAGTATGTTACTTAGGCCGCTCGCACTTAAGTAATATTTTTCACCGCAGGAGCAACTTTACAATGGTATATTTCGTAAAAAGCACGTTTTTTCTTGTGTGAGCAGTGAAATATAACGTATGTGTGTGAACTTTTACGGATATATGTATAATTTTTAAAACTCTGAAAAAAAGATATAAATACATACATATATATATATATATATATATATATATATATATATATATATATATCGTTTATTATACCAAACTTTTTAAAGAGGATATGAGAGAGAGAGAGAGAGAGAGAGAGAGAGGTAAATTTAGAGGCAATTTTATTAGGTGTAAGAATCAACGCTATTACTTCATCATATCCACATATTTGCCATAATTAGCAACGTAAAATTTTTGTGTCATAAATGAACAGGGCAACTGAAAGAGGGACGGAAATGCGCGTATAGAGGGTGGCGTAGCGTTTCATTTTGACCGAGGAGCATTCTCCATGGCTGACTCGTTCTAAACAGGCAATATTACCTATTGACTTTGGCTCGTAGGGCTGACCGATGGTTGACTAAGCCGTATACGAGTTTCAACGGAGTTTGTCTATGTGCGGTTTTACCTTATGTCAATTTTAATTCTAACAATAAGTTCGATTATCAAAATAAATTAACGTTGAAATATCAGAACATTGTGGCATAGATTCCTTTTTAAAGAAAAAAATAAAACTGTACAGTGTTGCAAATTTGATAATTAAAATTGATCGAAAAACGTTGAAAAAGCTGAAGGAAAATTAGAAAAGGAAGAAAGTCGAAATAGTCTAATTACAGAATTAATTTTTCCTCTAATATTTCTTTTCATTTCTAAAATATTCCTCGAGGTTCTTCGTCTCAGATTATTTCTGTAGCTGTACATCTGAATTAAAGTCTTCTGGTTTTCAATGGATGATTACTTTGCCCCCGGAAATTTTTGTCGAAGTATGATCTCGGCGCATCATTCCGACAGCTGTCCAATTTGTCCCGCGTCTGGTGCATCTCCAGCATCTCGCGCGACCTATTCACAGCTTCGTATCGGGTTCATGGACGCTCGTAAAATTTCGGCCTTCGGCCGCGAGTACGTAGATTTCTTTGCGTTTTGCTCGTTCTATGATCTTATCTTTGCAGCTTACTCCTTTTGATCTCTTAATGCATCTTTGCGGAGAAACATTCTCAGACTGTGGTCTTTTATTTCTTTTCCTTTGCATTACATAAAATCTGATTTTTTTGATGATCTACGACCTACGTGATTATAATGAGTTTTCGACTCTAAAATATTTATTTTACTCGACTGAATAAACGCGTCTTTATTACGATGATTATTTTTCAATTTCTATTATGTAAATTTGTTTTGTTCGATTATACGTTGCTCGGTGGATTTGTTATCATGACGGAAATGAAATATATATATTTTCCTGAAATTGTAATAATAAAACCACAACTGCCATATATGTAATACATGTTAAGAATAATATTATTGCTCGTGTCTCATATTGTTATTGTAATTTTTAATAATATCGCATTCCAATAATATAATGTTTGTCCGATTTTACACACAATTACATTTCATACAGTACGCACTTGCCATTTACATAAATTCGTGATTGCGGATGCGTGAAAGGAATACAAAGAGTTGCCGTGGAAAATAAAAAATTTATACATTTTTTATTACTTTATATAAAAAAAATTACATTTTATATTTAAAACGCAATGGTGTTTTAAAACTTAAAGCCGCTTTTAATATTTGAGTATTTGGCAATATGTTTGTTATATGTATTACATTTATAGAATTGCAAAATGTTGGATTTTTAGTAGTGGCAGTGCGATTTAATGGAAAATATATTAATCAATATTAAAAGCTAATTGAATGATTTACTTTTCATTAACGTAATTTTAAATATGAAAAGAATATAATGGACTAAGTAACAGCTCCTTTTCTTTGTCATATGTGGTAACGGTTCTATATACGTATGAACGGTCCTATACAT